CTTATAGAACTTTAATACTAATACTGGCCAATTAATCACTTATTTTCAGTATTAAAAATACTATTAATAATATTTTTAATACTTAAAATAAGTTATTAATTGGGCAGTACTAGTATTAAATTTCTATAATCATCATAATTAAAATAATAATTACTCTCTAATGGTTTAGTGAACCTACTTGAAATTTTTTTTAGTATATTACGGATAACAAAGGAAGAGTTTTCCGAAGTTTCATCAATTTGGTACTATTTTTGGAATAGCTCAGATACATAATTATGCTAAAAGTTATACTTACATTATTCTTAGAATAAAAAGTAAAGAGGAATATCTAAGTGTAAACGTATAAAAATGAAAACAGATAATGACAAGGACAAAAAATGCGTTCTACATTTTACACAAAAGAATATATAATGCTAAATTGAGTTATATAATCTATGAATAGAACAATAGCACATGTTACTTTCTGTTTTACAGATCCAAGAAGCTGTATTAGGTCGTTGGGTAAATGATGCCGCTCGCATGGATAGACGAACATTGGCATTAGTCATTTTAGCTCATGCAGCTGATGTATTAGAAAATGCATTTGCGCCATTGTCGGACGACGATTATGAAGTAGCGATGCGGAGAGTACGGACATTATTAGACCTCGATTTTGAGGCGGAATCTGCTAAACGTAACGCGAATCCGGTACTTTGGGCTGTATTTGCTGCATTCACCAAGTAACAGTTACTAACTCTTAAATTTCGTGGACGCGGAATAGTTTTTTACTATTAAATTCTATTATTATGTATTATACAATATTATTATTCTTATACTAATGTGAATAATGAACTTAATAATTTTGCATATCTTTTAGTTGCCAATTATTATGTGAAATAGATACAATTCTTGTTATATGATTCAGATCAAATCCATATTCAACGACATAGAAAATTTTTTTAATTATTCGTTATTATTATTTAATACATATTTGATAGCTGAATATAATGAATATTCGTATTTAAATATTATAAAATAATAAGAAGCGTGAATGTATGCCTTGTGCTGGATAGTACTATTTCATTTGGGAAGGAACGATTACATTGCGTTCAACTTCAATATTTCTTACTCATCCATTGTGTTTATGAATGTATCTTTGTAAACATAATATAAGACGCAAGACACTATGCGGGGTGCCTCAAAATGGATATTGGGCGTGATGTTATTAAAGAAATCTGGATTATATGTTTTTAGCTATAATTTTGTGAAATATACAAGTATGTACATATATTCCTTTAAATCCTAACTTTTAATATATAGTATATACATGTGCCTCTTTCTTTATGTCATATAGAATTTCGCGTTATATCCGCGAGGCGTTAGATCAAATCGCGTTCCTTTTTAAGTTTAATCAATCTATACATGCATTTAAAATCTTTCTCCAGAAAAGAATTTTAGATATATTTCTAATGTCGTTAATTATTTTATTCATTATGTAGATAATAAATATGATTTTACAACATGGCTGACCTCGTGCGACGTTACGCGAAGTGCCACATTTCTGATAATTATTTAACTGTCATAAATTTTGTAAGAAATTCTCTGCACAACTACTCTATATAAATGTTTTTCATACAGATTAATATATTGTTGCAATGTCTTCTGGTATATATAAACAGACTGTACTGATAGTATTACCATGTGGCAGTAAAGTACTCAGATTTTAATAGATAGAACGAATATATTACTGGTTATAGATATTTTCTGTTATCGAAATTTTTCAGATAAGTGATAATTTCCTTGTAATTTGATAGTTGAGTCATATACATTAATCCATGTACAATATTACAAGCTGCTTGTCCTGAGATTATTAAATATAACAATTTTGTGAAATAATTAATTAAGCCAGAGAAGCATAGGCCAAACTTCCTTATTTTTTAATAAAAAATTTTTTTAATTTGAATTCATTTTTATTTGTTTTTATTTTGTAACATTTGGAAATAAATGCTAGTTAGTTATAAGAACAAGGGATGCATTTTATTAAAAAATTATACTTTTTTTAAATTTCATGTTTTATATTTTTTTTAATTTTATGTTTTAGTTCTTTATTGAAAATAAATAGGGGAATAAATAATAATTGCTCAGAGTAATAATCAGAATTAATTTTTAGTTAATATTTTTTCAAGTATCTTTAGTTATAATATATGATCAGCACTTACTTTCCAAATAAATTTTACATTGAATGGTATAGACATTTTAATTTCTAATATTGATTGTTGAAGTATTCTCACATGTTACGGTCTAAAATAAGATTCTTTGCAAATAAATTTTGTAGGGCGCACTTTGTTGGATTGAACATGATTAGAAATATAATGAGTTACATAATATAGTGAGATATTAATTGACTTTATATAATCACTATTTTACATATAATAATATTATCTTAGATAAAATTATAACTTAAATCCAATTTTTACGATTATTCGAATCTAATAAGTAATCTATACTAATGATTATTTTGTGTCATTTATGCTTGGATATAAAAGTAATACTCGTACGTAAAAGTTTTATACATACTTACACATTCTTTATAAATTTTTATTTATGGATATTAAAAATTGTCTAATAGAGGGATTGTCTAATGTTATATTAATAAAATGCTGTTCCATCTAAAAACGCTTGCTGGACAAGCATATATTAGCATATAAATCTAGTTTACTTGTAACGACAATAATAATTAAATTCTAGTACATTTAAATTATTTATTAAAATGTATTGTAATAATTATTATTACTTCATTTTTATTGTAGTGATTATGATTACTATGATTACAGTAATCTTTACAATATAATGAATATATTTAATTAAAGCAATTTTATTCAAAATTTTGTGAATGCTCTAATGTACACATAGATTTTTATTACATTTAATCTTAAAGTTCATTGATAGAAGAGCTTTATCGCCACTTGGTAAAATATCTATCGTGATACGAAAAATCAAGTACAGTGAGAAATAAGTTTTACTTAATTACGAAGTAAATGTTTTATATCACATAATAATGAGAAATAAATATTTGCAACTGATGCTATGTGCGAGATTCTAAATCTCTTTCGAAATCTATTATCTACAACTATATATATATATATATATATATCGCATTATTCACAGTTGAAGTTTTACAATGAAGAACATATCTTTATATCTGAATATTGAATATGTTAATCAGAATATGTTATAAAACTTAAGAATGAAAAATTCTAATGAATTCTGAAAAAATGTCTCAACATACCAATTTAAAAGATTGATCTATTATGCATTTTACGAATAAATATATGGACATTAAATCAGGTCATATTTGTTGAAATTATGTTTTACAATTTAAAATTTATTGATAAGTATAAAACGCGTCGAATTAATGTCAAATTATTTAAATCAAAACATAGAAAATTTAATTTCATATATTTGAATATTTTATAGATATAAATATAGTATTATATCCTTACATAGTTGCTTTATAATTTTATGTGCACATACGTATGTAATATACCGTCGATTAAAATTCAATAAATAAGAAATTATCAACATTTATTACTTCTTATTAAATTTCTCTTTCGACTTATATGTATATGTTAATTAAATAGAAAAGTATTTGATCGTTGATAACAATTGATATGAAATAAGATTGAGAGAGAGCAACGTTTTAAATTATAAGAATTGTGTGTGTAGGGGCATGTCATAACTTCTGAATAGGCAATCAATAATAGAAAATAACTAACTTTAAATAATCATGTAAGAACGTGTTTAATTGTAATGAGGATGGAACAACAAAAAATTCTAACACCACAATTCCTTAGCACTTTTATTGTACAGACTTTTAAAAAATTAGATAATCATTATTATGTAGTGACAATTTATAAGTATCTATTAAGAGATTATTCTCATCGTGTTTTTATCATTCCACTGCATAAATTAGTTACAAATCAACAGCAACATTTGTATTAATGGCTGAATTTACCATAAGAAAATTGATTTCACACAAAATAACTGTATATATCAAAGTAGTTTACAAAATGCAGATGAAAATTTACAATGTAAAATACTAGAAAATACTTGTAATTAGATATAGATTTTATTTATGTATATATTATACTATATATATAGACAGAAGTATGTATAGATAACAGATGAAATAATTAATATACAATATATATGGCACAGAATAAATATAAATATGTTGTAAGAAATATAAAGATTTTTTTGAGCCCACAAGCTCAATTTCTTTTACAAGAAATATAAAGATTTTTTTATGAATATATTATTTCAATATAGATATATTCTCGTGCATATCTATATATATACAAATGTCGTGCTATATAACTTTATATATTTGTACAGTGGTAAACGTAAGTAATTACGATTATCGATAATTCAAAGATATTCAACGATTATTACAATTTAAAGATTTTATTTTTATTTTACAGAACCGTCTAGTAATTTAAATTTTGAACAAAGCTGCTTGAATAATGGCATATTCTCCGGTTATCAGTTTATCTTTATGCATTTCAAAGAATTCAGCCGTATCATTTGGTAATCCAACACAAATATCGGATTTCATAGTGCGCAAGCTCAAAATATTTGTAGGTTGAAAATTTCCCAATGCAGCTGTAAAGCTTATATTGTATTCAAAATTTACATCACCCAGAAGCTTTCTATAATTCAGATCACCCTTAAATATTACTAATTTAGCATCGGAAAATTGAGCATATATATTTTTCCCTCTTTCTTTCATTTGTGTAAAATCATACGGTCCTGTCCAATAAGGCTCTTCCTGTGTAATAAAAAGTTTAAATTATATTTAATATAATTTTACACGATAATCTAAATACAAATTAAATTTACCTTAATACACCAAATTTCCTGATCCATTAAATTCTTGAATGTTTTACCCAATAATTGTATATTTGGATGATCGTTTAGTTTATTCATGTAATCTAACATCCAGAGAAAATCATGAATGGTTGTATCACTCACATACCATGGATATAATTTTGCGTGAAACGTTATCTTAGTTGTAGGTACAATAGTAACCAAAAAAGCTGCTAAACATAGATCAGTGAAGAGTTCATATCCTGCATTATCAAGTACTATATGAATATTATCGTTTTCTTTCATCTTTTTGTTCACAATATCCCACACAATCTCCCAATCATTTACTACTATATTTTGGTTTAAAGACTCCACTATCACAAGTGGATTACCAGTCTGACTAGAAGGGGCTCCTGCAGTTGCAGATAGATCGTGTCTGTAAATATAGAAATCATTATTTATTAACAATGCATTATAAAAGACAAGCGTATTAGAATTAGATAGAAATAGTACAACCTGTTACCCCACAAGCTCAATTTCAGAAATTTCAGAAAATCATTCTTTGAATTTTCCTTATTATATTCCTTATTACATAGTACGTCTTTTATATATAAGGCAATTAAGTCCACAGACTCAATGGAGTTAATAAAATCAGTTTGCTTTTGATACTCAAATGGATCGTAATTGTGTATGGTATTCCTAGTATTGCAAAACGACATTTTAGCTTGTTCTACATGAATTCATGTTACATTTAGTACATCAAAACTTACAACAAACTAATTTCTTGAGCTAATACACGATACATGTAACATTCGCAATATAACCACACTGTATTGAACCATGTGGGTATTCCATCTTCTACGCATGTTCTGTACTCTAGATATTTATTCCATTCCTCGGCGTCATTAATTACTTTGGTATTTAAACGCAGTGGCTTCAAGGCTTTATTAGTAACAATCTCAGTTTT